GTTTCCTGCTTCAAGTGACAATGGGGAGCAGGCTGCAGGATGAACTATTTGGAATAGTCCCAGGAATTCAAGAATTTTCTTAGGGGAGAGAGAGTGTTCCCTTCATCCATGGAGTGAACACTTTGCCAGTTCATTTGGGTATCAGAGTAAAAGTGATCCTCCAGGGATCCTAGGAGATATCCTCTCATCCTGGTTACTCAAGAACTTCCTGGGTCTCCATTTAGCCAATGGATATTTGTACAGTGCCATTTCAGCTGCATGGTTTTGAGTAATATTAATTATTGAAAAGGCATCTAGGTAGGTGATAGAGAAACAGGGCAGTATCAGGCTGCTGTAAAGCCATTATTACTACTAAGGAAGACCTAACCTGGATGAAAATTTAATAATATGTTTGTATTAACAGCATAGTGTCTTTATTGGTTAAACTGATGTATCATAACTCGGATTTTCAGTTTCAAATTTAATTTCTTTATTCCAAGTTTTGACTTGAACAAGTACAATGTTCTTTGGCTACTGATACACTTAACATGTGGTAAAATACAGTAACGTATAACTAGTGTTTTTCTATATACATCACTCGGCAGTTTACTTTTTTACTCTATGTGACTTTTGTGATTTATCCATATTGGTAGATGTACTGTGGATTTCTTCTTTTTTTTTTTCAACTTTTGCATTGAACTTTTATTGTTTGACATAGTTTTTGGTATTTTGAAGTACACTATAATTTTAAAAAGACAATCGTCTATATATACTTAAACATTTTAAGAGAAATATTGATATATAAGGCCAAACAGATCACATTTTGCTTCCCCCATGCCAGAAATTTGTATACCTTACATTTTAAATTCTGGAATGTACAGCAGGTTAAAATAATGGAAAATTACACTTAAATAATGGGAAAATACTCTTGAAATAAAGATGCATTTTTCTAGGTGTGATTTATTGCAACTTTAGGTAAAGGCCAAATGCTATTTGAAAGAATTCCCTTCATGAAGGGTTTCTCTTTTTAAAATTTGTTCTTTTTTAGTTATACATGACAGTAGAATGTATTTTGACATCTCATATACCTGGAGTATAGCTTCCCATTCTTGTAGTTGTGCATGATGTGGAGTTACACTAGTCAAGTATTCATATATGAACACAGGAAAGTTATATTCAATTCATTCTACTGTCTTTCCCATTCCCATTCCTCCTCTTTTCCCTTCAGTCCCCTTTGTCTACTGGGGATTTATTTTTAAGTGTCAGCTATTTAGGAAAACTCACCCCTCAGTATGTACACAGAAGAGATTTTTTTTTGTCCCAGGTCATTTATTTTAGGGTGTCCAAAAGAGCGCAGTAGAGAAAGAAGAATCAAGGGGAAAAGAAAAGCAAATGAAGACTGGAAATGGCTTTCAGTAAGGGGCTGTGAACTTTGTTTTCACTGGACTTAAGAAAGAGCCATTTAACCAGCCAGGCAAAACAACTCTGTTAAGTCATAGGTAAGTGACGATTTATCAATCTTAAACTCACTATGATTTAGTAGATCCTGTAACAGTCAAAAGGAAGTGTAGGGGGACAGGGAGATGAAAGGAAAGAAGATCTGAGTAGAATTGTATAAAAAAGAGGTTGGGACAAGAATATCAAGAAGTCACAGTCAGAAGTGAGAGAGACTTGACGGAGATTGTCCTGCTGGCTTTTCAGAAGTAAATACCGTGGCTATTGCCTGGGTTATGATCCATGTGGCAATAACTTGAGGGACAGCTTGTAGGAGCTGAAAGCTGTCTTCTGAAAGCCAGAAAAGAGAATTCAGTTTTTGAATCCTGCTAACAATTAGTGAGCCTGTAAGAGGACCTTGGACCTAAGGCTAGATCATAACCTTGACACAGAAACTACGATAATAAATTTGCATTTTTTAAAAAAGCTGAAAAAAAAAGAAAGGGCCATATATCAGAAAGCAGCCTCTTTGCTTAACAAGTGTAAATAGAAATGTCACCTTTACCCTTGGGTAAAGATATAGATAAATAGATAGGTAGATAGAGATAGGCAGCAGAGTAGACAGAAATAAGTTGCTAATTAGTTGACTTTGAGATGGGGAAATACATTGGGTGCACCCAATGTAACCATGAATCTGTGGCTTCTCTCCATTTTGTCAGTTTTTTTTTTCCTTCTTATTCAGATGTTTGTCTCCCTGTTCTTCATCTATCTTTCCTCTCATATTTTCTGTTTTTTTTTTTTTTTTGTCTTTTTGTTTTACTCTGGAAGAATTTCTCCACAAAGCAACACAAACCTGATCTTTAGAACTGCAGAAATTGATAGATACCAGGACTTGAGGGTTAAAAGTCATTGTGTCAGAGGACGGGGTGGAGGGAAAGGTAGGAAAATGAGAGCCACAGCTCTTCATTCTAAACCCTCTGTGTTACTTGATTTTTAAACTATTTGCATTCACTTTAATAAAACTGACCGTGTAATGTATTCAGTTTTTATGAAAAGCCATTGTTCAAGTTTCAAGGTCAAAGAAATTTCATTCTCATCTGGTTCCTGGGAAAGAAATAGGAAGTAGAATGATGTTATTGAAAGTGAAACAGTGGGTCACTTTAGAACTTCTCAGAGGGATAAGTATTTTTATTTCTGATTTCTTGTTGGTTTTTTTTATTTTGGTTATTTTTTTTTTAACTAATAAAACTGATTTGATTTGCCATCAGATATTTTGAGCATGTTTAGTGCAGACAGAGCAGTCTGCCAAGTACAGTTCCACCTCTCAACTCATTTCATTCTCAACCACTACTCTGTTCCCCAGATGGGGAGCTAAGAACAGAAGGAAGTGAACTGCCCAAGTGACCCAGGAAGGCTGAAATGTTTTCTGTCCATGTCATGGGACGTTCCTCTGTTGATATTGATAATGATATCCTGAAATCATCAAGGAAAGGCCAAAAAGGGTTCCAGACATCTTGCTGTAGAAGGGGCATCACTTTGGCAGTGTTATGGTGGTGTGAGGGACCACCGAGGATCCTCCTGAGTGAATGGCCAGAGCCCACAATGAAAAATAAAAGTCCCAAGTTCCCCATTTTCTAAGACCAGAGAAATAGCATTGCAAGTCACCCCTTTCCCCATAGACCAATAGGAGGTACTTTTTCAATAGAACTGAGGAGAAGCTGTCTTTTGAGAGAGTACAGTTGTGAAAGAGGCCTAAGAGAATCACATCCCACTCCCACTTGGATATTCTCTAGATCGATCAGCCTAGTTTAATGGTGAAGGTGCTTTCAGACAGGGGAGAGGAGCTCCAGGGAGAGATGGTGAGAGAATACAAGGAATAGGCAATTGGCAATGTCTACATGATCAAGTTCAGGCCTCAAGTTGGGACCACAGAGGGTAGATAAGATTGTGGGGTGCAGGACAACTGAGAGCTACTGAAGCATGGGGCGAAGAAATGCTTGCATGAGAGGATGCTGAGAATCAGCCCAAGAGCTACAGCTCTTGGGGGACCACAAAAGACTCTCAAGGTCAGGGGTTGAGGCCCTTATTACTGGGATAGCTAGAAGTCCTAATGCCACCACCACAAACTTCATCAGTAGTTATGGCCCACTGATGGGATGTTTCCCATGGACAATTGCTTGTCCTCTCTTTCTCCCTCAATCCAAGCTGGGAGGTAAGTTTAGGGAAGGGGGTGTTAAGGGAACTGAGAATTCTCTACCCTGTCAATACTCCTCTCACCAGGACAAAGGATGAGCTCTGAGTCTAATATAAGGTTTCAAAATGAGTATAGCTAAATTTTAAAAAGCTAAAATGAGACTGCTTAATAATCAAAAGTAACTAAAATAGTTCTTCTTTTTTTTCTTTCTTTCTTTTTTTTTTTTTTTTGGTACTGGGAATTGAACCCAGGGGTCCTTAATCACAAAGCCACATCCCCAGCACTTTTATTTTTTAATTTTGAGACAGGGTCTCACTAAGTTGCTGAGGGTCTCACCAAGTTGCTGAGGCTAGCCTCGAACTTGAGATCCTCCTGCCTCAGCCTTCTAAATTGCTGGGATTACAGATGTATACCATCACGTCTGGCTTAAAAGTTTTGAAATTGAACTGAAATGTTTTTATGGGGAAGCCATCTCCCATGGTGATAAGCAGGAGCCCAGGCAGCATCAGTTGTCAGAATAAAGCTGTGTTCATGGTGTGGTGGTGCATGCCTGTTATCCACCTACTCAGGGAGCTGAGGCAGGAGGATCGCTTAAGTGCAGAGAGAGATATAGGACCAGCCTGGGCAACATAGAGAGGCCCTGTCTCTTAAAAAAAAAAAAAAGTTATCTTAACCATTCTGGAGGTTAGAAGTCCACATAAGTCTCACTTATAGGGCTAAAATTAAAGTTGAAAGGACTATGTCCCTTCTGGAGAATCGATGGCTTTAGAAGCCACTCACTTTCCTTGACTCATGGCCTCCTCCTGCCATATCTTCAGAGCCAGCAGGGTCCCCATCTCTCTGATCATTCTTCCAAAGGCACACCTCCTTCTATTCTCCCTTGTAAAAAGGCTCTTGTGGTTATATTGGGTGCATCCAGTGTATTTCCCCATCTCAAATTCTGTCTTCTGCCTTAATTCCCCTTTAACATGAAATCTGACACTGTCATAAGTTCCAGGGATTAGAATGTGGAAATACTGAAGGAGGAAGAGGTCCAGACACAAATGCTTCATGCTTATACCTCAATGGGATGACACTCTTCAGTTAAAGTAATTCCATGAGTTTTTACATTTAAAAAGTGGTTTTTTTCTCCTTTCTTTTTTGCCATCTGAGTGATGTCTCAGGAAAATAAGGGGGAAGAAAAGTAATGGTGATCTGTTGAATTTGACTAGAAGCTCAGCTCGTGGTGAATTGCTGGCCCAGTCAGGAAGCAGCAGAGTCCTGCCACAAGGTGGACATAGGGGCAAGGCTGCCACTTGAGAGGGAAAAAAAAATTTTTTTTTTTTTAAAGAGGCTCAGAAGATAGGAGGGTTTTCAAGGCAGGACTCAGGTTTAAAGATAAAACAGGGCCCTGGGAACCAAAGAATATGCGACCAAGATCCAGTCTAGGCTGACAGTGGAATCTAACAGGAGAGCAGACCTGGTCCCACCCTTCATCCATAGATCAGTGCTAGTCTCAGGGAATGGGGAGGGGTTGAGTGTGGAAGTGCAGGTGTAGGGATCCCAGCTGATGACCTAGAAGGACAGGGTCTGGCCTCATTTCCTGTAGACTTTGAAACAGTTGATGGACTAAGAATTTAAGGTCTACCAGAAGTCCTCATCCCTGAATAGTGGAGGGCCTTAAAAATTGCTTATGTACACAACTTGAGACAGTGGTACATGCCTGTAATCCCAACAACTCAGAAGAATCAAGTTCAAGATCAGCCTCAGCAACCTAGTGAGGCCCTAAGCAACTTAGCAAGACCCTGTCTCAAAATAAAAAATTAAAAGGGCTGAGGATGGAGCTCAGTGGCCAAACACCCCTGGGTTCTGTCCATAGTACCACCCCCCAAAAATGCCTATGTACAAAACACCATAGATTCTGATGAAATTGAGCTGGAGTAGGTCCTGCCTATAGGAATTTGGTTGTTTTTATAAAGTTCTCCAGATGATTCTAATATGAGGCCAAGGTTGAGAACTTCTGATATACATGTTATTGCTTAAAACTTTATTGTAAGTTCCCAAGGAAGGGGTTATTACTATAGTTCGAGGCATGGGGTAGAAGGAGGATTAGTTCCATGACTCTCCTTGGATACCAAAATCTGTTTAAGCTCAAGTCCTTTATATAAAATGGTATAGTATTTGCACATAACCTATATATATATATCCACCCATATATGGTGCTTCAAATCACCTCTTGATTTCTTACAATACCCAGTACAGTGAATATGCTACATCAATGCTTTTGTGCTGTATTGTTTAGGGAATAATGACAAGGAAAAAAGTCTGTGTGTGTTCAGTTCAGAATCAACTTTTTTTTTTCCTGGTATGGGGATTGAACCCAGAGGTGCTCTATCACTAAGATATACCCCTGATCCTTTTTATTATTTATTTATCTACATGCCAGGGATTGAATCCAGGGTGCTTAACCACTGAGCAACATCCCCAACCCCCTTTTTAAAAAATATTTTATTTAGAGATAGGGTCTCACTGAGTTGCTTAGGGCCTCACTAAGTTGCTGAGGCTGGTCTCGAACTTGCAATCCTTCTGCCTTAAGGATAGCTGGTATTATAGGCATGTGCCACCAGTCCTGGCAGGCAGGCAGGCAGGCAGACAGACACAATATTTTTTTAAAATATATTTTCAATCTTCTGTTGGTTGAATCTGTGAGTATGGAACCCATTAACATGGAGTACTGGCTGTACTTCTATTTTACAAATGAAGAAATAAAACTCAGAGAGGTTAAGAGATTTGCTAAGGTTTACACAGTCTAATTGACTTCCTGACATTCCATTTCAGTCTGGTCTGACACCAAATTTGTACTTTGCCACCCTGACATGAAGGTGATAAATTCTTTCTTTTCATAATAGAACTGAAAGCAGAACCGTGGTTCAAGAATTTCCAATATTGGCAAGATTTCGTTTAGTCTTTAGCTGTGACTTCTTTCCCCCAACCCCCTTCGGTACTGGGGATGGAACCCAGGGCTTCATGCATTTTAGGCAAGCACACTACCACTGAGCTATATCCCCAGTCCTAGCTGTGACTTCTTGTTGCACATTATGAGAAACTCAGTATGAAAATGCACTTTAGAAATATAACACTCATATTCTGACTTATCATAAGTTCTAACTACTCCACATGCCCCAGATCATTCAATTCTCACAATAGCTCTATAAGGTAGGAAATGCTGATCATTATTCTGGTTTACAGATGAGAAAACAGAAGCTTAGGAGGACTTCACAACTTGCCCAAGGTTGCAGGGCTTGTGGGTGAAAAATCAGAAACCGAACCCAGATACATCTGACTCTAAGGCCTTAATTTTTGAACACCAAGCCTGGATTTCTCAAAAATTACATTAAATTACCTGAGAAATGTATTAAAATTCATTTTAATATAGGGTCTATGGCCCACGCCACTCTCAATTCTGATCTGTAGTTCTAGAATAGGATTTGAGCATCAACTTTTTTTTTTTTTTCTGGTTTGAACCCAAAGGTACTCTACTGCTGACCTACATCCCCAGTCCTTTTTATTTTGGGATAGGGGCTTGAAAAGTTGCCCAGACTGACCTCGAACTTGTGATGCTCCTGCTCTCAGTCTCCCAAATAGCTGGGACTACAGGTGGGTGCCACCAAGCATCAGTAATTTTAACAAGCAACTCCAGGTGGTTCTCAGGCCTCAGTGAGCAGCACTGTACTTCT